AACCAGGCGCCTCAGCAAATTCCACAGACAGGGTATGAAGTCAATACTTCTATCAACAGCTAGTATTCAGATACACACTGCCTTTGAACACAAGGGTTCTGAGTCACTATAACTATTTATATTCTGATTCCTATTCTATGCTTGAGCTACAGTCACTTAGTAGCAAAAACTGCATCACTCAGGGACCACTGATGGTTTGGGAATGGAATGTCTGAAAAACGATGAATGAAGAGGAGCTATAGAAGTACACATGCCCATACAAAATACTTTCAGGAAAAAAAACTTCTAAGACGACTACCACCCACCCACAGCCCCAAAACAGAATTCAGTCTGGAGAGGAGGAAATGAAAAAGTGTGTGGGGCGGGGGGGGGGGGGCGGGGATGCAGCACATTATTCTGGAAGAATGCATATGAGTTGATTTGCATGGCTGATTTTCTTGAACATGAAATAGGAACTGTCAGCTCTGCAACCTTTTGTCATGACTCATATACACTGATAGACTTATCCTCCATGTATTTATTAAGCCCCTTTCAAAAGTATCTAAACTAGTGGTCATTGCTACATCTTGCAGCAGTTAATTCCTTAAATTAATTACATATTGTGTGAAGTATTTCTTTATTCCTAACTTGACTGTAATCCTCCTGCCAATCAGTTTCATTGAATAATGATGAGTTCTAGTATAATGAGGGGAAAAGAAAAGCACTTCTACCCAATTCTTCCATGTTATAACATTATAACCTTTCCTTAGAAGAAACACTCCCTGATCATTTTGGTTCCCCTTTACACTTTCTTTTCCAGTTCAATACATTTTTATTGTATTTTAATGCATTGTTTTATGATTTTATTTTATTTTTATTTATTTATCGATTTATTTCCTGCCTTTTTCCTACAAAGGGCTCAAGGCAGCTTACATCTGCTCCTCCATCTTATCCCCACAACAACAACCCTGTGAGGTAGGTTGGGCTGAGAGTCTGTGACTGGTCCAAAGTCACCCAGTTGGCTCCATGGCCGAGCGGGGTCTAGAACCCAGATCGTCTGAGTTCCAGTCCCATGCTCTTAACTATTACACCACACTGGCTCTCAGTGTGCCTCAGCAAAAAGGGAAGTTACAAAAAGAGTAAATAAATACTGTATTGTTAGAGATGTGGCCATCAGGACAGTAGATAGTATTTCCTGTATGGCAGCACCAATAGAGCTATACAAGGGCATTGGCAGCTTTATTTTTGATCTGCTTCCTAATTAACCTTAGCTTATAATGTAGTTTTTTAACTGCTGGGCATTAGCTTGGCATCTTCACTGAGCTATCTATGATGATCTCAAGATCTCTTTCCTAGATAGTCACTGCCAGTTCAGCTCCCATTACTGTATGCACAGAGTCCATTATTTCACAATTACTGGAACGGAAATAGTTTCCATTTTATTGCTCACTTGCCATGAGCTCATTCACCAGGCTGGTTCCATATGAGAGGCTCCATCCAATATCACACTAGCTGAGTTCCATTCATACAACAGGACTTTTTCATTCCTCCATACCACTCCAAATCTATTTCAAAGCATTTCTTGATTGTCTGAAGCAGATACGGGGGGTATACAAGAGGAAGGGAGAATCTCTTCTGCCTGTGGTACCTGTTTTCATTGGCCAATGGCAACACTAGTTACAGTCCTGGGTATTTACTATAGACTAGCCACAAAACTGTTACTCACTTTTTACAGGGCATCTGTATAACACTCAGAGCAAAATATCCTCTTCCATGTTTCTCCTAAGCATCTGTTTCTTCTCAGTACATACAATGTTTTAAAGCAAAATAAGATAAGTACAAAATCTGCCCAGTTTGCACCATAGCTCTTCCACAGGAAAGCAATTATCATGATCTATATAAACTGCTACCACCATTTCCTTTCTCTACAGACTGTCTTTCTTTCCAGTATCAATTATTACTTTAGCTGCTTTATTTTCAAAAAGGATTGTCTTTCCTTCCATATTTCCTTCCTGAATTGCAGTATCATCCCATCATTAGTACTGGGCCAATAGTGATGGGGAGTCCTTTACCTTTCCCCCATGTTGTGGTCTTAACAACTGCTCAGGCCACACAAAACACTTTGGCTATGGGTGGAAAAGAAATGAAATAAGTAAATAATAATAATACCATAAACAAAACTCCCCCTGAAACATTTGCAGCTGGAGAAAAGGGGACTGCTCACCAGGTTAGAGATACGGATGCAAAATTATTCTTCTGCTTATAGGCTGAAGCCCAGGAGCTTCTGAAGTGCTTCCATCTGGAAGCTCCCTCCAATTTCAAGATATACTCCTGCGTTTCTGCACCTGTATCTCTAGGCACAATGGATAGGGTTGGAGTGATGAAAAGCATAAAGCAGGGAACAGTATCCAGAAAGAAACTTTGCTGGATTTGAGAGGCCATGGAAGGTTTTCAAATGGCAGCAAATCATGGTTTATGATTTTTGGGTGTGTTCTGTGGACTTTTCAACTCAACTGGGGGTTGCTACATGACATCTTGAATCTAGATACTATCAGTTAATCATGAGTTAAACAATGCACAATGAACCTAACCTTGTTTACAAAGAACATTAATCTATGGTTTATTTAATATATGGTTAACTCATGGTATGATACCCTGCTCAGAGTTTGTCTGGCAGATGGTCAATAGGCTACAATTTGGTTTTTTTTTTTTAATATCTAGCTTGTTTGTCCTCCTTGTCTGTTGCTTACTCTATCCCTCTATTTCAAATGCATTCTGGGACTGCAACTAATCTGTTTGTTTTTACACTCCTTTGCCTATTATGTCTGGAGACTGGCAAAACAACCCATGACAAACCATGGTTTGTGTTTACACAAGATGGCACAAACAGGCTAGCATTCTCAACTCAACAACAAGTCCTGGGTTCTCTTTCTGGTTTGTTCATGGTTAACATACCATGGTTTGTTACTGCATCTGGGTTTGCACATCACAACAACCTAGAATCCAACAACACATAGCATGGGTGAGTAGTTTGTGAGAACCCAGCTCCTGTGTCCCATATTTGGGGGTAGCTTCCTGGGCTATGATGACCAAGGAGTGACCAGTGGAGCCATGCAATTAACCACAGCCCCAGCATCAGGTTTTCCATTGGCCCTGTCCTCTGAATGGTCATGCATTGGTGTGGATGTCTGCAGAAAGTAAGCCTACATGGGAAGCTTGAGCACAGGTCTCTACCCTAAGGGAACTCCTTGATCAGGCATACTCCCAATCATGTGGAAGTCTAGATGTGAGCAACTGCTCACATATAAGCTTTCTTCCTGTATCCAGGCCTATGTGTTGATATCCAGTCTCTGGGATCAGTTGTGTAGCAGCCCTATGCCTCAATTATCACACTGGGGAGGCTACCTATGTAGACATTGTGAAGGGAGCTTTGAAGGAGTATAAAAGCTATAGTCTGGAAGCAGGCATCCAATTAGAAAACTAATGTTGGAATTTTTTGCAAATGCAGAAATAGAGTATGTGTGGGTACAAACATACCGTTCTGACGCCATTCTCAAAGGCCTGGCGTGTTAAAGAAGCAGGTCCATCAACTGTCTTCCCATCATCATCAGGACCCCAGCTAGCACTGTAGATATGTATATGTTGGGGATTGAGGCTAAGAGATTTTGCTTCTACCATGTCTGTAACATCACCATCTAGCATCCGTACTCCTTGAAAAGAAAAACAAATTTAATGGATTTATCAAATCTATAAGGCTGCCCATCAACAAATATTCTCTGGGTAGCTCACAGATCAAGACAAACGTAAAACATTAAAAATATAAAATATTTTTAAATAGCAACAATAAAGATGCAGCATAGAAACTTTCTAGATGAGACAACATTAAAATCAGTAGTCTGGATTAAGAAAACATACTAAAACAGAGAGAGCCCAAGAAGTATTTAAAAGGCCTGGATGATTAAAGTTTTCACCTGCTGCTGAAAAGTACATAAAAGTGAGGTAACTGAGGCTGCCATACATTGGGCAAATCATGAGAATGCAAGACTCACTGGTAAAGGCAATTGTTGTTGCTAGTCACAAAGTTGCATCCAAGCCATCACAACCCCATGGACAACATTCCTCCAGGCCTTCCGGTCCTTCACCATCCCCTGAAGTCCACTTAAGCTCACACCGACTTCTTCAGTGATTCCATCTAGCCACCTCATCCTCTGCCGTCCCTTTCTTCTTTTGCCATCTGTTGTTCCCAGCATTAGGGTCTTTCCAGGGAGTCCTTCCTTCTCATTAGGTGGCCAAAGTATTTGAGTTTCATCTTCAGTATCTGGCCTTCTAAAGAGCAGTCAGGGTTGATCTCCTCTAAGACTGACAGGTTTGATCTCCTTGCAGTCCAAGGGACTTGCAGGAGTCTCCTCCAGCACCACAAATCAAAGACCTCAATTCTTCAGCACCCAGCCTTCCTTATGGTCCAACTTTCACAGCCATACATTGCAACTGGGAAAATCATACACACTTTTGTTGGCAGGGTGATGTCTCTGCTTTTTAGTATGCTGTCTAGGTTTGCCATAGCTTTCCTCCCCAGGAACAAGTGTCTTTTAATTTCTTGGCTGCAGTACCCGTATGCAGTGATCTTGGAGCCCAAGAAAATAAAATCTGTCACTACCTCAATTTCTTCCCCATCTATTTGCCAGGAAGTGATAGGACCAGATGCTATGATCTTAGTTTTCTTAATGTTGAGTTTCAAGCCAACATTTGCACTCTCCTCTTTCATCCACATCAAGAGGCTCTTTAGTTCCTCTTCACTTTCTGCCACAAGAGTGGTATCATCTGCATATCTGAGGTTGTTGATATTTCTCCCGGCAATCTTAATTCCAACTTGTGATTCATCTAGCCCCGCCTTTCTCATGATGTGCTCTGCATATAAGTTAAATAGGCAGGGTGACAGTATACAGCCTTGCCGAACTCCTTTCTCAATTTTGAACCAATCAGTGGTTCCGTGCCCAGTTCTTACTGTTGCTTCTTGACCTGCATATAGGTTTCTCAAGAGACAAATAAGATGGTCTGGTACTCCCATCTCTTTAAGAACTTGCCACAATTTGTTGTGATCCACACAATCAAAGGCTTTAGCATAGTCAATGAAGCAGAAGTAGATGTTTTTCTGGAACTCCCTAGCTTTCTCCATGATCCAGCGTATGTTGGCGCTTTGATCTCTAGTTCCTCTGCCTCTTCGAAACCCTGCCTGTACTTCTGGTAGTTCTCGGTCTACATACGGCTGGAGCCTAGCTTGTAGGATTTTGAGCATAAGGCAATGACACTAGGTAAAGGGGAAGATCAAATATGAGATAGATTGATTCCACAAAAGAAGCCACAGCCTTGAGTTTGTTTAGAGGAGCTGAGCACAGCTGTCAAGGACAGGACCTTTTGCAGAAATTAATTCATAGGGCTGCCATAAATTGGAGGCAACTTTATGGCATGTAACACCAATTGAGCAGTCTTGTCTTTAATAGCCATCCATCTCACTTCACTTGGCAGAGGAACTTGGAACAGGATGTCCAAGCAAGATCTGAAGGTTTGGGTATAACAAAGAAACTGATCTTTTAAGTAGGCTGTTCTGAATGGTCTATTGTTAAAATCAGCACTTAAAATTGGTCTTGGATAAAAGATTGGAGGTGGAGGAGCTGGGGGAGCATTGTCATCATATGATCAAAAGCACTCTCCATATTTATGCTACCTGACACAACTCAGTTATTTATTACAAAGCTCTCTTGCTTTTCTATCTGGAGGGGGGCAGTTATGGCAGCTCATAGTAATCTACATCTGTCCCTGCCTCTGCCTCTGTAAAATGAAACACTTAAGAGCAAACAATATAACAGCATGGGTTTAAGATATAACAACAGCAGCATAGAATAATAAAATAAAATTGCTAGAACAATTATTGTTTAACAGTTGCTTAAATAGCACTCTCTTGACCTGCTGCCTAAAAAGAGGCACAGGTGGAAGGAGGGAGTAAAGACTGTCTTCTGGAGCAACAAAGCCCAAACCTTGAGGGCCAGTACTAGTAAGGTTCTTTAAGAAAGTGTATTTCTTGATTTTAAAGTCTGGCTTATGGCCAGACTCAGTATCAGGGTTCGTACAGATGGACAGCTGATTCTTGCCTGAAGCCTCGGGAGGGCCAACCACTGACCCTACAGTCACCTGAGCCTTGCACTGTTTTCCACATTGCAGACTGAATGGCCATGGCTGGTGCCTACAATTTAATTGTCCCATAAAGTTTTTGGGGACTCAACAGCAGCATGGCCTCTGGACTTGCGGGGAATTAAACTTGAGGGTGTCAGTAGAAACACTTGCTGCCTCAATAATTCCTCTTCCTCTTTTTCTTTCTCTTACTCCTTCCCCTCTTCTTCACTGATGTACCATCTGCCACTATTAGTTAAGAAGCAGTGAAGTAGTTAGCATCGCCATGAAGTCTACCTGGTGGGAGCACTAAAAGTCTACCAAACATGACAATGGTCTTGCTTTTCACATTATCTGAGCACAGTGACAGGAAATAACCTATTAAGAGTATCTCTTGTCACTATCCTATATCTCTACAGCAATTAATTGTTCATCTAAAATGTATCTCCATTCAGCAATGGCAACAGGGACCATATTTGAATTGATACCAAAAGAGGAACTTCCTGATTCTCTTTCAAAATGCCATCAAAGCAGACGAGCAAATTAAAGCTTTACCAATCTGTACAGGAAATCATGTCTTGACAACCCACAGTAAACAGAGTGAACTATTTTCTCATCTCATCTAACAGTTCTATTTTTAAACCAAATTAGCATCTTTTAATTATAAAACATAACAGCTTTGTTCCTGTCTTTGGTATGAATTAGCATGAGTATTTATTCAGTTCTTAAAGTTCCAATTAACATAGGGCTTTGCTGCTTTGTTGGTAAAGCTTCATTTCCCCTCTACTATACTTCCCAGCCCCAATTCTGAGTGATTTGAAATTGCATGGTCAACATACAGCAAAGTTCATACAAAAAGCTGCCCATGCTTTCTGAAATAATGCTTGTCCAAATACTGATCTTCCTGTGAACTTTACATTATGAAAAAAGAATGAAAACTTTTTCAGGTCCCAGTTTTAACCTAATAATAAAAATCCTCAGAACAATGTCAGAAAATGAATCAGTTATAAATTGTATTTTTACTCTTTCATTAGAGATTGCACTCCTGTTTTATTGTAGATGCTCCATAAACATATTTGTTATAGACTGTTTTTCAGTGATGCTGATTTATTGTGATGTCCTTATTTGCTGTCTTAATTTGGTTAACTTTATTCCAAAACAAAATAAAATTATATGATAAAAGAGTGAAACAGTTGTGGAAGCTACATAAATGAGGCCACTGTATATGGCCGCGGGACATGCTGGCTAGGAAAGAGGAAGCCACACGCTAACACATCTGGAAGAACCAGGTTCCGGGAGGTTGCCAAGGTCTCAAGGAACTGGCTGAGTTCACACAGCATGCCAAATGCTCTATACTATTTCCACAGCATGTGGATTTTTGCCTGCAGTTGTTGATCAGATTATCACATGGTGATGCAGGTAAAAATGATTGTCTTTAATAAAGGAATTTAGAACCTTATGGAAAATAGGTGACAATCACTGAAAGAAGAAGCATGTGCCTCCTAACTTTATCCAAATGCATGATGTCATCATGATTTGAATTTTCCTACTTCACTTCACTGATTGTGGATGTAGGTAATATAAAATGGGATGACATTTCATCACACACTGCATAGCACTGGGTGAGAAAGAGGAAGAGACATCTTTTTGCTGTTTTTAGTGGCATCGAGGTACATTTCAAGATACTTCTTGTAACTATCAAGTTATACTAACTATATCTGTGACATCATCATTCAAATAAATTGTTTTCCAGTCAAGAGTCAGACTAGCTAGGTAAAAAGGCATCTAAATCCCATTGCAGAACACTAATGCTACAGCAAAAAAGAGCTAAAATGTTGCTATATGCTATATGCTATGTACAAACAAAACAACCTCCCTCCCCTAGACACAAACTGTGAACATTCTGTTTAATAAAACTGCCTAACTGGATCAAATCAACAATCCATCTAGCCTAACAACTCACTTCTGATAAACTCCAGTGGCATATAATGAGTTAGTACTTCCTTTTTCTAATGTTTCAGTAAGTACACTGGCTTAAATCCAAAGGTGTTCTTGTTTGAGTAAAAGGAGCTTCTATTAAAGAAACCAGTTTCACCCTGCACCAGCACACACAAATATTCATCTCTCCCCCTCCTATTGTAGCCCCAGTGCCATTCTAGAGAATTCCCAACCTTCAGAAGTAGTTTAGGGGATGCATTTGGAAGGTGGAGCAGAAAAAAAAAATAAAGTCCTCTTTCTAGAAGTCTGCATAAGCTAGGCTGCAACCCTTTTACCAGAAGGTATGTTGATAATGAATGTGCTATGCTAACAGATATCAGCAGAGCAGATTCACATGTTGTAAAAACAGTGAAAAGGGAAGCACAGGTGATTAGTGCATCCCTTTTCTGCAGTTTTGATGTAATATGTAAAAGTGAGAACTTTTACTCAAAAGTGAGAGGGGTTTTTCCTAGCATGGCTTTCCAAAGCAACTGCAAACATACTTTTTTAGTGTGCCTTTCAGTTTTTTCTCCTTAAACATAGTCTCTTATCTCTGATTTTCCTTTTCTCCTCCACTTCCCTTGTCCTCATGGGTCTTCTCCAATTCATATTGTGACCCTACGAGCATGGATTCTATTATAGCACCTTGCACTTAAGTCTTTTAGGCACTCGACAAATCAAAAGGCTTTACCAAATTCCAAATCAACTGTACATTCATCAGAATTGTTTCTGCAGTGAGTTCTGATAGGAACTCAAGTGGACAAATAGCCTGTCTCTGTTCACCCTCAACAGAAAGAATCTATGGCATTCCATAGATTGTACTCAGCTGATTGTACTCAGCTGTAGATATAATGGCTAGGTTCATACAGTTATTTAATTTTTAATTTAAATTTAAAAATTTGTATACTTCCTTAGAAACACACAAGGAATTATTATTATGATAGAAAATGATTATTCAACATTTCAAATAAATCCAGACTCAGTTTGTTGAATGGTGTAAGGACATGATGCAAACCACTATTTAGTGACAGGATTCAGACAAAGTTGGGCAGTGTTTGAGTGTGGATTATTGTTGAACCAAGGCTTGTTGTAGGTTATGATGCTGTCTAAACCCAGCAATACTAACCATACTAACAAGTCATGGCCTGTTAGCCACAAAAACAAAATAAAGTGAACCCATCATTTGTTGTTGGGTTCTGAACTGTAAGTTGTTCTCCAAGGTTTGTTATCTTAGCTGGGTTCAGAAAACATGATAACCCACATTTTGTCAGCAACTTATAGTTCAGCAGTAACTCACAATCAACCCATGCCCAGGCTTGAAAGTGGATCATTACATTGTCTGAATCCAGTCAGTAAGAAGTTACACTAAAAGTAAGTAAGTAACTGCTATTTGGCCAGTTGTGGCCTCACTTAATTTATGATAATATAGTTGATGAGTATTGAAAGTCCAGTGAAATAACATACCATTTGAAAATAGATGAAACTCACATGCTGTTCTATAATGTTTGCATAGGGAGAGAAACAGGATTCAAAGAGTTGGATCCAGTTTTATGCTAGAACAACTGCGCTGGAAGAAGTAAACTTGATACAGAGCCAGGAAATCGTGATGAATAGGGCAAACTACAGTGCAGGAAGGGAAGGGGTCCTCAAAGATCAAGTGGAAAGACCTTCCTTTTGTGGAAGGCAGATTTTGGAGCCAACCTATACCATGAAGACCAGAGTAGTTAATCTGTAGTATATAGATCTACTATACTTGGATATATGCATATTCACCCTTAAGCATAGGTACATATGCAGGTATCAGAATGGCTCAAAATTGGTACCAATAGGCATGATTCTAATTGCCCATGGCATGATGTTTGTAGTATCTGCATAGCAGGAAAGCAGATGGAAGTTCCATAGAATTATACATGCCATTGTAATCCTATAAGTTTAATTGCCAATTCATATATTGTACTTAAAACTGGCAAGGACAAATATCCTGAATCTACTTTTATCAATTTATATCTGATTTACTTCTGTTAGGAAGGAAAAAATGACTTGCATCTGGATAAGTACATTCTTCTACAAGCTGGCTAGGAAGGCGTGTACAGCAGCATATGTATCTCAAAACACATACTGCACTTAATGTAATTAGCAGCATCTACATTTGAGTGCACATCTAATTTATGCCTTCTTTTTCTGAAAGCAGGGGTATCTGAGAAATTCTGTGGTGTTTCTAAAAATATCAGACCATAGGCATACACTCACTGAGAAAGCAATCATTAGAGAGACATATTTTACACATTCTGATATAAGTTTATATGGTTAAGGAATTAATAACCAGGATACTACCAATATCTAATCTTAGAGACCATTTGTGTTCATGTATGGTATTAGCCTAGTGCTTCCTAAAGGTCCATTTACTGCATGCATATAGACTAGTTTAAATGCCAAAGATTTCCCCAGGAAGTTCTCAGAATCACAGCTCTCTGAGCATATGAAGGAGTTTTAATGGGAAATCACTGGCAACACTTTATAGGATCCCTTTCTGTATCCAGGACTGGCAATTCTAATACGGAAACAAAAATATAATAAAATGTTTTCCTCTCAGGAGATTAAATATTTCACTCATCTTTAGAGAACAGACCAGAGGTGCATACTTGTAAAAGTAAATGGGCTCTGAGATGAATTAAAGTAGTACCCTCTGTATAGCTTTTGGAAGCAATGGCATCAATTCCTGAACATGCAAGAAAGCAGGTACCATTGAACTGAGAACAACTTACTTTGGATTAAACATACTCAGATTTGTGCTACACTTCATTTATATGCCATTTTAAGAAGTTGCATGAAAAGGGTTTGAATGAAAAGGGTTCATGTGGTCCCAGCGATAACAATGCATGGCTCCTTGGCTCCATGGTTGAAGTCCATGGATCTCTGCATAGAGGAAGCATATGTAATATCGACGTGTGGTTATCAGTGCTTTGATGAATCAATATGCATAATATTGGGGATAGGACGAGAAGGCACAAGCCACACTTTTCTGTGTTAATCTCATCTAAGTTCAATAATAAATCTATTCTTTCTTGTTTTCTATGAATGTTAAATTTTAAAATGTACAAGATTGCCTTTTAATTCTATACATATCATCCTCCCTTTTCATAGCAGTTGGAATGCATTTCCCCATGAAATATGCATTTTTGAGCTATGAACAGCAGCATCAAATTTGGAGAGTCACATCATCTCAGGGATAACTGTGTTTTTATCCTTAATCAGTCGTCTTAAACAGTATTCTTGCATTAATCTGGGAAGTACGAAACAGTTTTGTTTAAAGATATTTGTATGAACACATTTGGCCAAACTTACATGCCATAGGATTCATCCAGTAAAGGAAACATACTTTTGGGAAACATGTGGCTGAGCTACAAACCTAAAGTGTTTTAAAATCTGTTTAACACTTTCGATTTTTCAAAGATGCATGTGTATATCAGGGCTGGATGTGTTGGAAAATAAAAGAGACAGTCTTTGCAACTGAGAATTCTGTTAATGGTAGCACACTTGTACCTGTTTACTCAAATGTTAAAGTTAAAGGGGTTGCTTAGCTTTGCATTTGGCAACACTATTCATTATACAATGGTATTTTATTTCAATATGTTATTTCTGCAATATCTTTTTGTACTGAATATCATCCTTAAGGTCAATGTGAACATTTCCCATTGTTCACATTTATCACCTTTTATATTTATGCTATTAAATTGCATTGCTCTTTCCTTCCTCCCCTGACTTACAGATCCCCACCCCCAATACTACCTCAAACAAAAAATTGACTCTTACCCAGTTCATCCATAACAATAACAAGCAATCCTCACTGCAGTATGAAGTGGACTCTAATATTACTTCAGTTTTTTTCCCCTCTGATCTCCTTCACTTTATAGTAAATCGCAGATTTTCCATTCAGAAAGTTGGATAGTGAAATTTAATTTTGGTCAGGTTAATGGTAATATGTGAAGAACTGGAAGGGGACAGGAGGAAGAGTATTTATCAGGGATATTCTAGATTCCTCTACAAAATAGTTGGAGCTCAACCATTTTTACTACCCCTAAACTACATGGATATAATAATCCTCAGACACTTGTTTCTTCCTATATAATGAACTAAACTGAAGGTGGATTCTACCTACGCTAGCCTATAAATAAAGGAAATAAGAGGCAAATAATTTCCTTCACACCTGAGTATTGTACTCAGTTCTTGTTCCATTTCACGTATCTTTCACATTGTTGTTGTTGATGATGTTGAAGGAAAGGGTCATGCAGACTGGGAATAAATGGTACAATGCACATGCAGTTGACATATTCACTGAGTCCCTGACCAATCAGAGTGCAAACTGGCACTGAGAGTGAATCAAAGCTAATATGTCTTACTGTCTACATTTATATTTTATAGGTCTAGCATGAAAAACATAGATTCTACAACTAGAAATGCACGTGTTAATTCACATACCCCTCGCATATAACACACACACACAGACAGGAGAAGCTACAGAAGTGAGTTATCTAACATGGAAAGATGATATGAATATTTACATAAATCCAATGGAAGAACATACCAAAAGAATATGATTGGCTGTCTAAAATCTTTGCTCAAGATTTGTAGAAACCAACAAAGTCATTCTAGCTCTTGATTCCTGACCACAGCAGAGGTATTTTCTTCCTAGAAGCATATGCAATAGAATTTTAATGTAGGTCACCACAAAAGCTAATATTTATCATGAAATATTCAGCTGTGGTGAAACTCAGAAGAGGCACATTCAAGCCAGTGTAAAAACCAGCAGATAAATGTACACTAACAGGTTTGTCCACTTAATATAGGATTCTGTAATAATTTTTAAAAGGTGGGCTTTCAATGAAAGCTTATTTAAGTTACCACTATATTGTATGACTTTGTAACATTTTCTGTCACAAAGATTCATCAGCTTTCTTCTGGAAGTGTGTGTGTATCCTATTCTAAAATAAAGAAATGAAACTTAAGGCATAATCCTATGCAAGTTTAGACATAAAAGGCGTACAACTATGAGCATGTCCTACCAATCTATTTTCTGGCTAAACATGTATAAGATTGTAACCATACTGCACAATTGTAGATGTGTTTACTCAAGTCGAAAATCTCACTGTATTCAATGATGCTTATATACTACTAAATGTGTTTAAAATTGTGCTGTGTGTATACTTACCTCAGAGTATGCCCCCTTGAACACAGTGGGGCTTACTTCTGAATATGTATTGCACTGTTCTTATTCTAATTATATTAAATAGTTGTACTTACCTCCAATTCTGGCATTAAATGCAATTCCTACAATACAGTGTGAATTGTTTGCTGTAGCTGCCACTTCTCCAGCACAACGGGTTCCATGCCTATGGGCAGAACAAATATTTTAAAGTAAGTAACAATAAACACCAAGATGCAGATATTATCAGTATTTAATAGCATTGACCTTGCTCATGCTCAGATGCTAAGTGTAAGATGCTAGCAGGCAATCTTTCCTGCAACATGGTCTTTTAATGTATGTAGCTGCCGTGACTTAATCATAATCCCTCCCTTCCCACCGAATCACATTTTCCTGGTCATATTTATGATTGCTTTTAATTCATCAATGTAGATAATTATCTGAAATGTACCTTGTCAAATAAATATATAAGAAAACATGCTGGGATGTTTTAGCTTTTTGGGTGCCCAAAACAATTGAGCGAATCCATAAAATAGTAAAAATAGAATATAATTAAGAGTAAAAATGTACAAATGAAAGGCTGACATTTAGAGACAGTGGGGTGAGAATTCTTATTAGACAGTCTACAAAAGTAGAGTATTTTTATTGGGAATATGATAAAGAATAAAGCCCAGCAAAAGTGAAAGAAGTCCAAGTCCATAGTCCAAGTTATCAGACCAGTTGTGCTGATGTAGCTATTTTTTATGTCTGTAACTGTAATAAAATGCCCCCAAATAATACATTACACAAAACCCTCCAAATCATGGTTTCCAATTTTCTGGAAATGAATTTACAAACAAAAGAATGCTGGCAAAAAGCGACTCACAACTATTCATGTTATTTAGCTTTCTGCCCCAAGTACGTCAGCAATGTTTGTGCAGCTGCCTTGAAAAAATTTCAAGGGATTATATGTTATTTTCTTCTGCCCCTTCTGTTCATCTACTGCATCCACCTGCTGCCTTGGATGGTAACTTCCTTCGAAGTTGTAATTGCACATATAGCATGACAGAAGAAAAGAAGTGCTTAAAGTTTATGAATAAAGTGGTATCATAGTTGACAATAATATGCCCAGCAAAAGAAATGGGTGAAGCAGGACTGAAAAGCAAAGGGAGGGCATCTTCTATCCTAAGTTTTAAAAAATCTGCTATTTGGCTACTTTTTTTTCAACCAGTTTTAGCTTGATAAATATTTGGTGGTATTATCATAATCATCTATCTATGTACATCATGTGCCTATGTACCTATATACATAAATTGTACAATGCAGGTTTGTTTAAAGCCAGGATTTGCATAGACCTTCTGGGTTATGAGCTGTTAAAGGATAACCACTTGGTAGGACTAACTGACCATCTTTCAGTAATTTACACTTCAGCCCAATAGTCCCTGTGAAGGCATTCTGACTAGTTCTCCGTATAACAGTTTTACAAACTGTTTACAAAAGTTTGACAAACTTTATATGGGCCCTGTAATGAAAACACAAGTCTGACATTTATTTGTTGTTTTGAAGTTATTAATCATATTTTCATTTTCCTATTTTAACTCCAGAGCTTTATACTTTCTCAGGTAGTAAAACATGCAGGGTAAATTTCCTGGATGAAGAAAAAAGGCAACTCACAGTGTTTATTATTGCATTGTATTTATACTTATATTAGTTGAATAGGCATTAATAATGAGTACTCAAGAACAACAAAAAGGAGACCTATCTTATACTACCCAATTCAAATTCCAGTTGAAACTACTCTTTTTGAACTTGCTTTATATACTTTGCAGAACTTGCTTTATATACTTTGCAGAGTGAACCAATTTCAGCTTGTTGTACTGTGACTGAATATTGGAACTGCTGGTACGTTAGTGTTCATTGTCTCTCATGAATGGTCATGGTAATTTCACTTGACAATAACAGAACAGTATGTCTTCCATTATCAGCATGAAATAGCAATTTCTGGTTACTACCATTAAAGACAGAACACACAATTCTTATTGACCTGGTTCATATATAGTTAAGAAGCCACCATGAGTAAACTTTTCTATGGGCTTTACTTTGTGGTAGTAGTGGCCATTCTGAATATTTGAGCTACAGCAGGAACGCACCATAGCTTGTAATTACATGATGAGGGCAGGCTGTTGGTGTGGTAATCAAACCACACCAAGCCCATGGGCTGTTTTAAGATTGTGGGTAGCTGGTTTACAACTCCAACAACTCACGTTCAGTGGATTTGCATGTAACAACATGGTTCCCCACTGCAACTCAAATAATTTGAATGGTGGAAGTGCCAGAAGAAGCAGCCCCATGGGGAAATGTACTCATGGTAGTTTCTTCTTATGTGCAAACTGTGCCATGGATATGTGCAGAACTGCATGAGTCAGTAAATAAAAATGGAACAACAAAAACACTTAGCTACTAGTTGTGCATGCAAATCAAGCACTTTTTTTTGCAAAATTACTCAATTTTAATATATTCTTGTTACAGAATTTGTGTTCAATTTATGAAGTTTCAATGCAGGATGCTAATGGCCCTATTAACTTATTTAGTACTGCATATGTTGTACAAAACAAAAGAAAGAAAGACATTGTAGGATGAGATACCATTTGAAAGGGTTTTTCATCCCAAGAGAAATTAAATATATAATTTCAAGTCAAGTCAGTTGATGTACAAGCTTCAAGTTTTATACAACAATCTAGAAAGCACAGTCTTGTATCAGGTTGCAGTATTAGACATCTGGAAGGGGGTGTTTTCCTTTTAATTTCCCATGAGAACAGTAAGGGGGGGGGGTGAAAAAGAGCCCTCAATGTCACTATACGTGATGCTATATTAGACTATGAGTAAAGAAAAACATTCAGACTATGAATTTGGTCAACTACATTTGATCCTTTTCAGTTTATCCTACTGGCAACAGTATTGCAAGGACAAGTGTTAAGCTTTTGAGTGAGTTCAATCTGGACTATTTTGCAGTAAGGAAAAACCCAAGCTGATGGCCAAATTACATTACATGCATTGTCGTTCAACTTTCTTCCAATGTTTTTTCATAAGAAAAAACATCTGTTGAAGGATGCAGTCTTAAACAGTGCACTGCTGTGCTAATGATGCGGAGAAGCTGCTTAACCCTTTCTCATTGGGCAATTTCCCCATTCAGAATTGCCCACCTGAAGCTAAAATGACAAAGACCTTCAGGGAAAAGGTATCTTGGCAGGGTGACAGATCCTTAGAAAAGAGATGAAGAGAAAAGGGTTAAGCAGCTCTTCCTCCCCCACCTCCTGCCACTTTGGTCCAACAGCTGTTTTCCTTTAAGGAAAAATGTTGAGGGAAAGTTATACATAATTGCATGTAAAGTTCACCATTCTGAGAGGTGAACCTTAAATTGTTCATATTGATTCGGTATGTATTTGAGTGTTTCTACTATTTCCCAGGTTATCAATAAATCAGTTAACAAGTATTAAAATTAAAATTAAAAAGAGATATAATTATAAATTATATAATTATAAATTGACAAGGAGCATTAGTGTGTCTTAAATAAGACAATATTAGAGATAGGCAGTACTAGACTAGTATGTAATTCTATATATATGCAATGAAATCATGTTCCTTTTTCTGTTCTATTCTTTGTATTTCTTTTCTTTTAATGACTTGGGTCAATGCAACTGCTTGACATAAGATCTGAGAGAGTTCTCAGACAGACTACTCAATCAGAAAATTCTACGTTAACTATATAAACTTTTAACCACTGACACTGAAATAAACCTCTACATCTTACAAAAACCATAAGCTTGGTTTCTATGCTGCAGACATAGGAATAACAGCACAACCAGAATCAAGCCTATAAAAAGAACAAAAGACATTTATTAAGGATATTATTTATATAATAATAATGCTGTAATACAATGAAATGTTGCTTTTTAATTGTAGAATAAGTCTGCTTAAATTCATAGTTATCTAGGGATAAGCATGTTTAGCTACTGAAGCAAGATGGCTGGATTGGCTCATCAGTAAAACAAGTAACAAATCCAATGGGTACAGCAAAGGTTCAAACATTGGGAAACTTTCTGAAGTCAAAAAATATCCAGGAATCAATGCTGGAAAAGCCTTATATGTGACCGCACACGGGGGTGGGGTAGGGGGTTTGTTGTGAATGCTGTCCTAAATCCCAAGAATATTTGGATCAGTAGTATGAGTAATCACATTTGCAAGAGAAACAAGTCCCCTTGCTCTCCCAACTAGGAGGTAAGTGCAGTTCTCATTCAAATAAAGGAATTAATTTGAATAGTAAGCTGACACCAGGAAGGATTTCCTTGCTTTCACACACAGCTCCGAAATGCTGAATACATCCAGCGCAATGAAAAGATGGTTGGACAATTAGTTATAGGTTCAGACAAGAAAAACAAACTATATGGGAGGGGTAAGCAAAGCTTTTGTTTTGAGGGCCACATTCTCTCATGGGTAAGCTGCTGGGAACCACATTAGTAGTGAGCAGGGCTGAAGGACCTGTGGGGAAGGACCAGAGTCAAATGTAGATGAGCCACCACTTTTCTCTTTCACCCATTTCTTTTCTCTCTGTACCCTTTCTGCCTATACTGTGGGCTGCTGTCCATGAGAGAGCTCTGAAATAATTGCATACAAAAGACCTCTGAAACTAGGCTGAAGGTCACATAGGGTCCTACAGATGCAGAATGCCCATTCTTGATGTATGACAACATACAGTTATACCATCAGGCACAGTTGGATAACAATGACTACGCATTATGCATTTTGTAGAGTTTAACCAGGAAAAGGGTTAAAGCTAGTTCAAACTGAAAGATCCAGAATGAAAACCAATGCTCTCGCAAGAAAAAATTTAAAAAATGATGATGTGGAATTATACACCCTTGAGATTGATGGAAGCATACTAGTCTCTATGGTGAAGAAGCACTAATGCTTTAGCAAGGATCACCATGTAAAATGTCCTGGGCTTGGTTACAAACATTCAGGAGTAGATTAGGATGACCAAATTCTGGGGAAAACAGGACTATGAAATACTTTGAGTAAAATCCTCAAAGTTCTAATCCTCTGGGCACTGTTTTCCTTGGGGCACTGGTTTTTGGAAGAGAGACAGAGGTAGTGTAAAAAACCCATCTAGAGCAACAGAGACAAATTCCATTGCTTCGTCATGTAAGTAGCCAGCAGCTGGTGCTAATGGTATTCTACACATTCAAAATGTTTTGCAGCTGTGTACTACACATGGGTAGACAGGTGTCCCAAATGATGACGTGACATTTGGAGAGCTTTGTCATCCTATAATAGATGGATGACTGTAACTGCACAGCCAAAGAGGTTTTCTTGGCGAAGAGCAAAAAAATGTCTGAACTTCTCATAAGCACATTGCAGAGCAACTGGATGAAAACATGGTCCAAGAACAACATCTGTTGAAGGTAAATTCTTGGTCTCCCAGCTCCACGTGGCTAGACATACTGTTAAATGTTTGCATGCTATCCAGACTGTCATCTGTTGATTTGTCAAGAGGCCTTTGTCAAGTAGCTTCAAAGATATGGGTAGAGAACAAGCAGCTCATGCATGGCTCTGTCTCCATTCCCTCCTTATGAGCTTTCACTCTTGCGCTCTCCTTCCGTGATTCAACCACAGCCATGAGGAAAGCAAGAATAATAAACAGAGAAAACAGGTACAGAAGGAGAATTGTAAGGACAACTGGGGTTCCAGGCATGGTTCATAGCAACTAAACGGTCTTTCTGACAAATGCTCTTGCTACTGTCCTCTGTAGTCAGACTCCCAACCTTGCACATGCACCTGCCTGCCAGCAAGTCTCTCCCGCACACACTCTTTCTCTATCTTTCTGCTCTTTTGATAGCAACACAGGGAGAGAAGCATATCCACTCAGAAATAAGCATTAGCAGCACATACTAGCTAGTAAGCAGAACTGAATCACAGCATAGTATCATTTGTGTGGAACAAAAGTTTCTGATCCCAGTATTTACATCTGGTGATGAAATGGAAACAATGGATGACTCTGAGCTTTGATTATTAGTCCCCAGCCCCTGATAATGGAACAAATCTGGTTTCAGAAGACTTCAAAGGAGGCAAAACTGAAGAATGCAATTGAGCTTGAAGCTGGGATCTGAAGAAGTGATAAAATGGTTGAAGAGGATGACTCTTTGGAGCAGATGGAAATAATTGGACCACAGATTGCCAAAGAAGAAAAGAAAAGGGAAAAGGGGGGAACACTATGGCACAGTTTACACACAAGAACAAACTCAAGAAATGTATTTAACATTCCATCTTTTATCTAAATAATCACTTAAATGTCAATTGTAGCTATGGCTTCATTAATCAGCTAAATATAGAAGGTGAAGGTTTGTTTCCTACAAAAAGAGTAGAGTCAATAGTTTTTGGTCAAATCAGTAGGTCTGAAATAGTTAGAAATGGTCATTTTCAAATGAGAGTTGGGAATCTGGACCAAACAAGGCAACAAATGGGCAGTGGGAAGCAAGACAAGAACAGGAGTAATACATAATCAATCCCACAATGTGGCAACCTTAATTAAGACATTTAGATTCTTTTGAGCTTTTAGCACCAGTTAAAGTCCTGTTTTCCTGTTTTAATGTTGAATAATTCTATCCTGCTCCTTATCTAATGTATGCTTTGAACTGTTTATATTCTAGTTCAAACAACTCTATTCAGATTTTTATTGTATATTAAACTTTTTGTACTATGCTTTGTTATTTTGTGTAATGTACCTTTACATTATTTTACATTTATTTTATAAAAGAGAAGTATTACATCTAACAATCATTTTATTATTGAGATTAGGCAATGCCTAAACTTCATAAGACATATTTAAAAGTTCTGTAAAAAAGAGTGGTGGGTTGTGATCCACTGGTGAATTTCTGTTAAATAATGTTTACTGCTTGGAGGGATTACTCCAATGACTACTAAACTAGGTAGTCTTTGTTCTGATCCAGCAGAATCAGAAGTATATGTTCTTTCCGTGTTCTTAAGCAAGATCACATACTTAAGACTGGTTTATTTATTTTGAATATTACGAGATCTAAAGGATACACTTTTGCATACAAGTGGGCCATGGATATCCTAGTGAAAAAGACCATGCAAGGCTGAATCAGCCTTCTCCTGTACAAGGATACTTACAGGTAATCATTGAACATTGCAGATATAGCTCATCACTAAAACAAAATGCTTTACATAACAGCAGTGATTTCATCCACAGCTGACTCCTATGTTATGAAGCAAATGTGAACTTCTAGGATGGGATTGTGCCTTTGATGATTTCATGATCCTCTGCCAATTTATTCAAACCAAACCAAATATTTGGCAGGATTCCTGCATACCATAGTAGCTAAAGAAACCCTCAATGCTTCCTAAAAATTACCACATGGCTCAAATTATTAATGTTTGCAGACTTCTCTATACTTCTGGAAGCCTAGCTTTGAAAAAAGTGTAACTAGAAAGTGTCAGTGGGTTAATCTGTAACTTTCCCACAATTTATGTACTCTAACATAAGATATTTTTATGACACAATCTCTAGCGGACAGATGTTACAACCTGTTCTAATATTGAACAACAGGCCAAAATACATTATATTGGAATTGTTTAATCTGCTGATATATCCATTATAGGTGACACTTAGAATACCTTGACCAATCCCCACTGCTTGGTAAACTGCGAAGATCTAATGTACAGCCAATGCTGTACTGTATGTGGCCGTTAGGTAGAAGCCAGAAATCATACCAGATTCATGGCTGAAGATGTAAGACAGGGTGATTAGTCACAGATGACTGCAGTGTTCGGAGGCAAATCATGAGCTAATTACCCCACAAACTACAGCCGCATAAGCTGTTTCTGGTTTCCAGCAACAAGTTATGAATGCCACATTTATAAGTTGTCTGCATAATATCCAAAGCCATCTGGGTTGTTTGTGAGTTGAACAAGCCAAAGTCAATCCAAGTTTACTCTTGGGTTAACTTTGGGTTGCTTAACCAACAAACTACCAAAAGAACCCAGGTATGGATCCAGTGACAGTAGCCTATGAATACAGCATTCATAGCTTGTTGCTGAAACTGGAAACAACTTGCATGCTGCATACATTCCTCGGTTAATTGACTCATACTTTTTTGCCAAATGATGCTGTTATTTGAGGACAAGGTCAATTTATCAAGCCAGGGAGAGAAATAAGGGCCAGAAAGAGGTAGAAAAATTTATGATGTGAAGATCTAGGCAAAGTTACAGCCTGGATAGGAACCCTTTAAAACCATTTTTAACCATTTTTAAAAGCTTACTAGAGGCCTTTTAAAGTTTGTCTTGTAGTGATACAGATCTGTCTTCTGAAGAGATGGTTTGATGTTTTGGAGCCTAAGAGCAAGAAGGGGAGGTCCAGGCTCATGACACTGCTAGAATGAAGCAACATCTGACCCTTCAGAGGGCAGTGTTGTTTTGTGGCTAGATTGCTAGACTTCAATCAGGTTCAAAGCCTTTCTCTAATCCTTTCTGGGCCTTTAGTAAACTAATAGACAGAATTAATATCAGAATCAAAAGGCATTTCTCAAACATGCTTTAAGCCGTTCAGAAACAACATAACAAATAACAAATATATGAAACAAATGATAACAGATACATTTCCTAAGATATGTATTCTTCACTCTCGGGCATGTTCAACTTGTGACTCTTCAAGCCAAATGTAGGCATCACCCTGGGAATTACTTGGCAGCACTTCTGTTTTTGCAGTCCCAGGCAGGCAGCAGAAGCAGGGATGTTATGAACTTACTGGATGGTAAGTCTACATGGTTGCATTCTGTTTGGTGGGAGAAGCAGCAATCAAGTTGCGCTTGCTTGATGCAATTTCCTGCCAAGTATCCAGAGCTGATCCCTATGCTAATAAGAGATGTGGAAAGGGAACTAAGGCAATTTTAGGTGATTCCCCCTTCGCCTGAAGCTCAGGATGAACCCTTCCAAGTCTGCTCTGGACAGTTGGTGGAACTTCCAGATTTAGTGCAGCATGAGGAGAAAAAATTGCTGAAAAACTGCCTATCCCACCATTCATGAATGTTTTTGATTAGCAAAGTAACCCCCACTGGATACAACCATAGAATGATAAGCAAACCCCAGAAATGACCAGATAAAATATTCACCAATATTATTCTGAAAATAAATATAATTCAAAAGGTTTGCAACTATGCAATATAAACATAAATTCTCAGGCCACTCTTTCCATGGATAAAATAAGTCCTTCCACAGATTATGTCTAAGAAAGATAGGGAAGAAACATACCGAATAATGTATATGCCCCAGAAATTACAGTGATAATTAAAAGTTAGTTTCCAACTAATATGGAAATTTTTGAATTATGTTTTCACTTGAACCATTAGTTCTATATACTGTTTTAACAAAATATGTATAATTTATCTATGAGCATATTTAAACTTATCCCCCAGAGCAGTTGCCTTACTTGTTTTCATTGCTGGCATCATAGCGAGGCATGGGGTCAATATCATTACCATTGACATCAAAACTGGCATCTGAGTCCTGTAACCAATAGGGAAGGGAAATGGAAAGAGACATGGAAAGAGAATGGAACTGCAGATCTTCATTAATTAGCCATTGACTCATTTTGTTCATACATTCCTCAGCAGGTTTCTACATGAATGTAATTAGGTTAACTGACATTCCTGTGGTTTTGTGACGGCTGCCTCTTTTCGGAAAGAACTACACGGTCAAAAACAAGATTTAGATATTATTTAAACTGTGTTTGGAAAATGTTTGTGTACAGCCAGCCCATTCTAATGTATGAAAAGTTATTTTAAATACTGATTTATGCAGTTTTACTTATTATATTCCAAGCTTCTTTTCTTAATCAAAATCCTTTTTATCACAATAACAGTTCTTTTCCAAACTGGCTTGCATTCTTCTTGTTAAAAAGCAAAACTATTTAAATGTTTCTAAGAGAACATTACTTGCCTTAAGGAAATATATCCATATGTTACTAAGGAATTTAAACACAGAACTCAAAAGATAAACCTATTTGGAAAAATCATATTTTTATTAACAGTAGCTACTAAATTTCAATTTTTTTGTATCTTCAGGCAGCATATGCAAATTTTAATGGGTGTAAAATGTGCTTTTGTCCTCTCCACATTTTCCTGTAGAAAACAATGAAAACAACTGTTTATCTTTGTGACTGCAGTTGAATTGAGAATGCATGTTTTTCTTTATAATTCATCTATGTTCAAAATTAGTTCATCCATCTCAAATGATTCTGCATAGCCTTGCCAATATATAGTAAATATAGTATGTATTTTCCATGTGTGTATCATTTGCAATTAATGAAATTTGTTCTGAATTGATTTCTTTACTTTAGGCAAAGGCAGCAACCAACATGGAAACTATTAAACTATGGAGATCTATTAAAATCATGTGAATAGCTAGGCTGGGATAAAATCAGTAATTCCTTGTGCTAAGAATGTTAAATATAGCTTTGATTTCTTAAAGTAACATTTGTAAAGAAATAATAATCACATCAATGATATAGCTGATCACCAAGTTTTTCATTTCAGAACTACATGAATTTGACCTAATGAATGAAATATTGACGGTTCAGATCAGGCACATATCTTTAATGTTGCAAATTTTAAAAAATAGGGAGTCACAAGTAAACATGTTGATGCTGTGGATACATCTAGTGCCTTATCATGACTTCAGCATTTCTTCCTTCGTTTTTTATAATGTTAGAACAAATATTTGCATAATTACAACTGGATTTCTGAAAATGGACAGAGAATGTTCCAGTAATTTATGTTAACAGCAAATATAGGGCAGTCATAGAACATTTTGGGAAGAGCCTTCCCTAACATATTGGTCTCTCGACTGCAACTCTCATCATTCCTAGTCCGCATCATTCTGGTTGGGAACAATGGGAGTTGCAGTTCCATGTATTAGAAGAACACCAGGTTGGAGAAGGCTTGTATTGAACCATTGTTATTTTCGTATACATACCTAGATTAAAATAAGGTGGCTGTATGTCCTACTTTACAAAGGACTATCTGGAGGGCTGTGTTTTTAAAAGCTCTGAGGTGAGTGGTCAATGCAGCAATGAACCAGAGCAGAAAACTTACTCTAAACCGGTGGTGCATTATCAATGATGTTTGTGCATACTCTGCAACCTGTTTGTGCCTGATTTCCAAAACTGCTTAGCGCTGATTTCAGTGGAATTATATGAGCTCCTAAATGTTTATTTTGTTTGAATACAGACTTTTATTTAATTGACACATAGTTCCTATTTCCATGAAAGTAAGTCCCTGAGCTTCAAGGGAGCTTACTTCTTCCAGTCTAGAAGCTACATTTTTTTAGAAATGTCATCTGAACTAATGTAAGAGGCATTTTTTATTTAATTTTTAGGAACCATTTTTTCTAAATTAATTTGACTATACTAAATCTGAAAATCACTGCTCACAAATGATTTCTCAACCTTAAGCCCAGCATTCAAGCTGGTGTCCATCCTGGTATCTTTAATTAATGCTTTCCATTTCTAAGACTGTATGGGAGCCTGAGAGAAGCAATTAACAACTGTAGGAGTTCCAGGAACCTATAAGCTGAGCACATTAAATTTTCATAATAAATAAAAAGCAAGTAGGGCTTGAGGCATTGGAATACACTTACTCAGATGGATTAGCTTTCTGAAGGAATTTTGGGTGTGTTAAATCTGAAGTAGCTGGTGAAGGACACAAGCAAAAGGAATTCTGATGGATCCAATTATTTAATTTATTTATTGATACGTAAGATATTTGTGTGTATTCACTTCAGAACATAGGAATGGATAATTGGAGTAAGTAAAGACTTGGATGGTATAGTTGGGCACTAACCTTTCACTGGACATGAACCACATTTTAGAAAGAAATTGCCATGGTTGGAAGGGAGAACACTGCTGCATATAACCTGGGGTGACCTGGAACTAGGATAAAAGCACCTACATTGATGAAGAAGCAATTGTTGGAAATACTGTCCAGTTTTGGTGTGCACAGACACAGTTTACAATGTTGCCAAAAAGGACCTAGCAACAGGTAAAACACAATTCCTCTTAAATGCTAGGAAACATTAGCAAAAGCAAGTTAGCTTTTTGTTCAAGAACTTCTGTTCACAGAAGGTGAGGCATCCAGAGTCAAATAGAGTATCAACAGACAATGGGGGGGGAAAAAACAAAAAACCTGAGCTCTAATTGACAGAGACCTGGGAAAAAAAAGTAATTCAGGCTGACAGGAACATTTTACAGTATCTAATCATGGCATATAAAGCTGGAAAACACATTGACTTGCCATCCATACTGAGACACAAACTTTTGTCTGTATGCTTATGGTTGGCAGAAATCATGGATGAGGTTAGAGGAATTATGAGTATGAGTATAACCTGAAAATTTATTCTGATTGTCCAAGTATTGTGGTGCATGTCTCATCTGATAATTGATGGGTGGTCAATGGTACTCAGTTTGGACAAGCCATCAAAAAATAAACATTGGGGATTTTGCCAATATTTTTGTCCAGGAGTTGCTAATTGTGCATTTGGAGACAGAAAGGAAAATCAGCAAAGGCTTGTTCTCATCAGAAATGCAAAATGGATGTTCCTCTGTCAAAAACTGGAAGGACTTTCTGGCATTTCTTGACAGTAAGATGTTTTCTGCTCACAGCCTTTCTTATCATGTCACCTCACATTCATATGGGAACCTCAAAGTTGTCATTTCTGCAGGATTTAAGGTTGTGCACCATCAGTGTAATTCAAGAGTAGACATTTCATGAAGCAACAAAAAGTAGAATCATTCAGCATACAGTTAACAGCTGTGCTGATACCACTGTTATTTCAGCTTGAGATATAGACACATTTCTTCATCTCTTGCACCTGTTCAGTAAGATGAAAGTGCACCAAACTGTGGCTGATGATTGGGACTGCAAAAAGGAGGGAAGTATGTTCTATTATGCACTCAGAGTCAACTGAGAAAGTCAGAATACTAGCACTGTGCGCAGCATGGAAAACATATGAACTACCTGCAGAACTCCTCACCTCGTTTGGTACTATACTACTCTCAGACAAGACCACAAGATCTGCCAAGGAATTTGTCAAGAGGTTGTTTGTTGGATCTAGTGATTTACTTTTATCCTATTAGTTTGGAATTGTCTTAACTGTGAAATGTATAGAACTAACAAGTCACTAACTTTTGCTGCATGTTCTGATTTAGATGGAGCTGCACATTGGAGCCATAGATTCTATCAGGAATGGATTAGCTGTAAAATTGAGAAACCTCATCAGCAACGCCTTGCTTTATGTCAAGCACAGCAACCTGAAGAATGCTATATTGGAGAGTTGCCACCATGTGAACAGGCAAATTACCTCAATCTATGAGCTGTCACTGGAAACAACAGAAAGAGGGGATTCACTCATATCCTGACCATAACTGACTCCATTCCTCATGTTTGTTAAATATAGTGGTGTGCAGTCACAAACTGTACACACACCTACCAGCTGTGTGAGTTCAAGAACATACAACTGCTTCACACCAATAATAAATTTCTGCATCTCCTGTTCAAATATGGATTGCTCATTTATTTCTTTTTATGGATATTAGTTGTTAATTAAAAACTTTTATGGCATATTAAAATGCCTTATGAATCTATCATTCATTGCATTTTATTTCAATGGAAAAATCTCATGTTAACCCATAAGTCATGATAACCAAAACAATAATAATAGGGCTCGAATTGCATTGACTTTGATGCCCATCAATAAAAAATGCTCAAAGAATTGAAAGCTCTATCCTGTCAGCCAATATAATATATGCATTACATATAAGTAATAATTAAAACATTGTTCTGTGTTACTAGAATGCCTCATGCCATGTCAAAGACAATTTCATAGAGTATTAATGCATTTTGAAAGCATTATAAGGGATGCAACATTGATTTGGGGAATTGATATTGTGAATCATTTTTGTACATATGCTATTAATGTTGTTAAACAGTATGTGAACCAGCCAATTCAGTTGCTGATTATTTCTCTCAACCTCCCATTCAGCTATAGAAAAAGGAAGCATTCATTCAAGGCACCAGCTTACATGTCACCTTAAATTTGGCTCCCACTTGACTTGCTCTCTTGGGAACAGCGATTTTTAGATTCAACATGATAAGTTAGTCTAGAAAAATAGTGCTCCCAAATTAATGGGAAACAGTTCCTGCACACTGTTTTTGGGGAAATCAGCCAAGACTAATTATAAGTGCCCTTAGAACTGTAGCCTAAGAATAACTTTCAGTAGTGGTGTGTGGCTTATTTTTTCACAAATATATATTTTGCTTGAAAAATGCAGCTGTTTCACAATCCAAGCTTAATATAATCTCTGCCTACTTTCAGGCACCAGATTTCAAAACATTTTGAACAGTTTCACTTCTCAGGGGACAATGTTGCCCTATGAAATTATCATGGTTACAACTGCAATAACTACAATTTTGAAAGTGAATTTGAGAAAAACATCAATGCATTGTATGAAGAGTAAATTCAGAAATGCTTCCAGCAGTGTGGGCGTCTGAATCTTATAAAATAGATCCTATAGAACACTGCTTGGGCTGAGGCTTGGCAGGGACTCAAACATGGTTGATAGACACTCTTCTCTGTCTTGAATTAAAGTCAGGTTAGCCTAAATAATGGTTCTTGGGAAATTAGAAAGACAGGCTGCATACTTGCAACTGTTGTTCTTTGAGTGGTCATCCGTGCATTCATACTTATGGACTCGGCGCAGAGCCTGTAGTCAGGAAGATTTCCTAGCAAGACTCATACTGGTGGGAGCTCCTCCCTTCCTGCCCCTTGGTATGCTTGGAGGGGCTCCCAACCACTTTCTCAGTTCTTCTCTGACTGTCATTATGGATGCCTCAGGACTTTCATCTATTGGGAGCTATTGCTCTCCCTCTGGCTCATTCTTCACTCTTATACTGCATTCTTTTACAATTCTAGTTCTTATTACTTCTTACCCCTTCCTCTGCAAGCAGAGTCCATACATGCCATGCACAGAGTCCACACAAACAAACTACTTCTTGATGTGCCCAGAACAGATATTCACCTGCCCTAAAGGAACATCAAGAATACTGAAGTCAAGAAGATCCAGATGTGAACTATGTGGAGTTATCAAAAGTTACTGCCCTTTGATATGTTAATGAAAACACAAGTTTAAATAAGTCATAACTTCTGTAAAACAATGGTGTTCTGAAACTAGACAAATCTCATTGCATGCAGGAGTGCATGTAAAAGGTATATATAAAGCCGGCTGTATAAAACCAGGAGACAACTCTGTGAAATATCTTGTTTGAGGATCTCAAACTATTTTAAAAATAACAAACCTGTGGAAAAAATGTCCATGCTGTAACTTATGGTTAATGCCTTAATAATACAACTAAACCAAACTAAAAGAATGAAAGAATAATTTAAATTTACAGCACTTCATTTCACTGTTATTATGGCATCCTTCATTTATTGCATCCTTCATTTTCAGACATTTCCTAACTTCCATCCTTCTAACTCATTCCAGTACCTTGATCAATTTACCACCACTTAGGAAAAAACAAAAACAATAACAAAAAACCCCAGCAATTAGAAGCACTGTGGAAACTCACATAATTATGCATCAAGTCTGGGTGGTTTCTCTCAATGCCATCATCCAAGATGGTGACCACAATGTTCTTTCCAGTGTAGCCTCTCCTCCAGGCACCTACAATGTTCATATCTGACTGACAGAGGTTTGTATTATCACTGCAGTGCTAGAGGAACGGAGGGGAACAAAACAAAACAAGCATTGCATGTAGGAGGTTAGTTAACAGTGTGAGCAAGGAAATATTAGCCTATTCATTAGCATAACCAATTGAATTATCAGCAAATAAGCTTATTGATTTAAACCAGAGTGACAGAAAATAGTGCCCTAACAAACAAACAGCAAGAGAATTTAAAAAGATACTAAATGTAATGAGAATTATTAGAACTCGTTATTTATTTTGAGATTGGTCATCACAGGGAAGGGTAACTATTAGACTATTTCATTGTTATTATGTGTCCTTAGAAACCACAAACAAAAATAGCTCTTGTTTGAGCATTCCACATGCTTGTGGTGAAAAAAATGCATTTGAATTTTTCAACACAACTAACAGCATGTGGATAAAAGTAGACAAAATGCTTGTAAGAAATAGCTGTGGAAACACAAAAAATGCTTGTGTGGGGGGATGGAAGGAGGGTATAATCTTTGAAATAGCTGTCTGGAATCCCATACAGATTCCTTTATATCTGCAAAAAAAGCACTTCTTGGCATGTTTAGTATAGCACCAGCAGGAGATGAACAGCAGCTAAGAACCTGTAACCAAAACAATCTCTATAAAATACTTGAAGCTTAAGGTGCTTATTGAATTGCAGCTCACTATAATAATAAAGGTTTTGGGCACCACTCTATGTTAAATTAAAATTGATCCATTTTCTCTGCCTACCTTTATTCTGCATGAAGGGGGGCACTTTATAAAGGGATGAAATAGACTTTTCGGCCCTCTTTACCCCACCCAATCCCTTGACCCCACAGAAAGAGTGAATCCTTTTAATGTGTATACTATTCAGACCCTCAGTGGTGGTGCTTTGCTCCAGCTCCCCTGGGCTCAGTGAGAATGAACAGGAAAAGGGGAAAATAAATTCTTAGAACTAGTATCATAGCAACACATACTAGTTGCAAGAGCTCTCAGAGACCCTTCACTCTCATTTCCCTATCCTCTTTCTAGTTTCTACTGGACAAGTTTCTATTCTTTGTTAGCAATGTAGAAACTGCAAAGATGGCATGTAAGTTAGAGAGGATCCTGTTTTGCCCATAGTGGCATGTTTCTCTCCTTTCTATGTTAATATCATGAAATTAATCAATTTGATTGCACAGCAATCTAATTGTGCCTTAAATTATTATGCCAATGAGTCTTGTGTCCAAAAAGTTAAAAAAAAATCTCCATGCTATTGTTTCTTCAGGCCCTCACTTATATGAATTCCATTTGACATTATTTCATGCAGATAGTTAGTAGAGATGCTACCAGCACTTCATTTGTGATATAGACTGCATTTAAAAGGGCTAATAGCCTGCTTGGCAAAGCTAATTGTGTATTTAAGACAAATGTAGGATATATTAATCCTGTAATTATTATTATTATTATTGAACAACTGAAAAAATATTGCTGGATGGAAAATACTTTCAACCAGCAAAACTAATCCTTGACCTTTAACTTCAGGTTAATCATGGATAACTGCCACAGCAGGCATTTGACAGTATAGTATTAAACTACTGATGAAAAGGGAAACATGCACACATCTCAGACCAAGTCACCAAGGCAAATATGACAATTTGCAGCCTGGTTTCAATTGGTTTGATAAACTTCATTACATTTGACTATAATAGGCTAAGGAATATCACTTTGTCCATTTCTACATTATGAAAAATACTATGTGCCAATTTTACATAGTAAATGTGAGGGAGAAATTGGATAGATATTCAGGATATTCTAGTTTTCATTGTGTATTCAATCAACTCTATTTTATCATCCAGCAAACTAGGTAAGGATTCATTTACAAGTATGTCAGGCATCCAAGGGATGAGAGGAAATAGAAAAGGTGTGACCAATGTGGGAAATGGCTTTAGGTGTCCCAAACCCCATTTTCACAAGCTTTCCCATGTAACTGTTCTAGCCATCTCATTTTTCTACTATTCGCAGATCCATTCTCTGCTTTCTTCATACAGGCAACCTGATCCAGCTGAACATTTCAGTTCCATTGGTTTAACAGAAAAGCAAAACTCTGGTTGAAAAATGCCTCCACTACTTTCAACAGAACTTTGAAACTGTCAACACAGTGCAGTGAAACTTTTAAATACTTTGGAAAAATTGTGTCCATTGTAAGTCTCAGTGACAGACACATACTGTTCCATGACCATGCAGTGTTCAGATGGTGTTAAAAAGTGTTATTATAGCATGTCTCTATGTTCCAGAATCTTCTAAGCTAGAGGATTTACAGGTATTTATACATAAGATAAGTTACATATCAATGAAAATCCATTGTAAAACTGTTGTCTCAAGGTGCCTATTGTGGGGACAGAGAAAGAATCACTGCCAATGTCAGAAACCTTTTCTGTTTCGCTCCCTTTTCTGTCAAAATGATTACTGTTACTGGGGAAAAAAGGTTCAACCCAACTCTCCAACACACACACAAATTTTATGTAGTGTTTCTGAACCAAGCTCGCTCTCCTTTGAAATGATAGTTTGGTCAGAGATAGGGCTGGAAGGGAAACTCTACTCATTGCTTCTACTCATTCCTGGCCTGAGCAGTTGCTTCACTGCAACTTTTACATGGTGGTCCTGAGCTTGGTTCCCTTTCCTCAACAACCACTTTAGGGACTGAGGTAGACTGAACCATTCCTGTATCACCAAAGCCACTGCAGAGTATTGTATGTGTGCAAGCACATCATTGAACTCAGAGAAAGGAACGAAAAAAGTGACCTTCTATAATTCCTTCTACATTTGATTCACTCAGTGACAGAAATCATTCATTATTAAAAGAAATGTCTTATCATGCATTACTGGAATTAAGTGTAACACTATATGTACGTTTGTATGTTACATTCTCTCTCTCTCTCTCTCTCTCTCTCTCTCTCTCTCTCTCTGTGTGTGTGTGTGTGTGTGTGTGTGTGTGTACTAGAATAAGACATTGTAACATGACAAAAAGTGTTTCTCATTTGTTTGTTTTAAGGGTGATATACTTTACAGACATTTTCTAGAAGCGAGTATAGCAGAAAATGAGGTGCACCAACCAGCACAGACATGCTACCCTAAAAGAAAATCTGTCCTCATATCTCTTACTGTTAAACCTAAAGTAAAGGAAACCCTCACCAAAGAACCTTCATTTATTCTTTATCTTAGAATAAACCAGGTGAGAAAACCCTCTGGTTCCCTTCAACCAAAACATCCACTGATTTCTGGCTGTATTCTTTCATTTTTTACGAACGTGGAAGAAACAGCCCATAGGCAACTCACTGAAAAAAATTACTCAGAAGTGCTGCTATTTGGTTCAGGAAAGCTATGCACCTTGGGCTGCAGAAAAGGGTGTGAGATTATAAACCTTCTTTCCTTGAAAGGATTTGGAAGTCTGCTAGGATACTGTTTCTTTCTCCATTTATGATGTCATCAGTCTATCTTTGCCTGAACTTTTGCGTCTCCTGAAAAACCACGATTTTTACTGTCACTGGATTCTATTCCAGAGATATTCTCTAAAGAAAAGGCAGAATGGATTGCCTTCTTTTAACTGTCTCATGTGCCTATGAATCCAATCAATAAAAAAATCAAAGCAAACAAATCAAGCAAGCTGGCAGACTGAAACAGAGCTGGAACAAAGGACATTAGCCCTGCTAAAGAGCCTGGGCATAGCTTTAAATTCTCCAAGTCTCTAGGAGAAAAGTCTACCTTCTCTGGTCATGACATCTGCCTCCTTATTCCACTTGCTATGCAACAAGCCTGTAGTCAGGCTCTTACAGCATGTGGGAATAGAATTAAAAATAGCCATTGAAAAGGGTCATGCAACTCATAGTTCATGAGATTTCAGGTAATAGTAACCTATAACTATCTAAAGTTGTCTTTGCAGATCTAAGAGAGTTGTTTCAATAATGAAAGTAGATGCATGGATATATATCTAAAGTGTATTTGCATTCTTTTCCAACTTGGTGACTTAATGGAGAGGTTTTCTGGACCGCAAACCTCTCAAATTCCTCCATCATATCTGTACTCTCAGAGTTTCTACATAAATTTTTATTCATAAGTCATCCTGTTCTGAAACAAGATGATAGGTTCACCTGATATGTTCATCATTCACTTTATTCTCTTCTTTTTTTCTCTCTGTTCACACAGTCTTCTGTCCTGGGGTGTTTTTTTTTTTTTTTTTTTTTAAATCCTGCCCTAGCATTGGCTGGAAAAGAAATAAAGGCTTAAGATACCCCTAAGGTTAACAAAGAAGAGCACAACTGAAAGTGAGGGTAGCAAGATGGCCTGGGAAACTGCTGCCTTTAACTTCAAAAACAGCTACATCCAATCATATCCATCATCATCATCTTGCATTTATATTGCACTTTTTTCCCTTTCATAAGGAACCTAGATTAGGCTGAGAGTAAGTGGCTGGTTCAAACTTATCCAGAGAGCTTGATAGAGTTCTCCCAGTTCCCCAGCCCAACACTCTTATCACTATGTCACAGTGATTCCCATGCCTCACTGGCTGTAAAACTATATACAATGGGAATAAGTCCCAGTGAAAGTAGTAGGACTTGCTTCCAAGTAGACAAGGATAAGAGTAGGTTGCTGAAGACCAAGTTCAATGCATTTGCAATAGGAAAAATAAACTAGAGATCATGTTACTTCTTCATTTGCATAATTACCTTGATGATGTGTCCAGGTAAGACAATATTAAACTTAGATCCTGAACACTAGGAAAATATTTGGGAGTAGAACATTTAATTTGAAATCCTGTACAATGTATTAGTATTATTTATAATGATAACTCAACCTGTTCGTGCAACTTTCTGACACAGAGCTATGTTTTCCTTATGCATGCATAGGGTAATTTTTCCTGCTTTAGTCTAAGAAATTATGCTTTGCTTCTGCCATCTAGAAACATGGAGAAAGTATGCAGAAAAAACATTTTAAAAATATTCCTGCCCTAGGAAATGCAGCATATAGCCACCATTTACAATTTACACACACACACA